GGACCGCCGCCCGCGCGCCCACCCCGACGCCCCGACTTCTGGGCCGAGCACCCCCTCCCGCCCCATCTGGACCGACACGGAGCCAGACGGAGCCCCGAGTGCGGACCTCGGCGACCTCAGGAGACCGTGAGCCGGCTGTGGGGCGCGCCTGGAACCTTCTAGAAGGGCGGCATTCTGGAGGCGCACCCACGAGGCGGGTGTGACGGGGCAGGAAGGGGAGCCCCAGGAGGGGCATGTTCGGGGGATGGGGGGCCCTGTGGCCGCCACACCCCAGGCCTCGGGCGCCGGCCCAGGCCTGTCTCGCCTGCTGGCTCGCACGTACCCAGAGGCCTGGCGGGTCCCCCCGCCCTCCGGCTCCCCTCCGTCTCTCCTCAGGGTGGCCAGCAGGGCAGCCCTGTGCTGGTCCAGGGCCTCGAAGAACGAGGCCTCAGGGCCCACGCGCGCAAACGCCATGAGCAGCAGGACCAGGAGCCTGACGCCGTCGGCGCTCGTCCCTCGTCCCTCGTCCCTCGTCCCTCGTCCCTCGGCCGGCGCGCGCTTTCCGGGGCCAGAGCGGGCCCCGCCCACGCATGCGCACACCTCCCTGGGCGGGACAGACGCATGCGCACCACACCTCGGTGAGCCGCGTGCGCGTGGGGCCGCTGGAGTCAGTGCGCAGGTGGCGCCGGGGTGGCCTTCTCCCTGCTTGGAGTGCTGCACCCAGACATTGCTTGGAACGATTTTGTCTGTCTCTTATGTAGCCATCTGTCTACTGTCTACTTTGTCTGTCTCCACCTACCTGCCTACCTGTCATCCTGCAGTCCTCCTGCAGTCCTATCCATTCTGCCTGTAATATTGTTAATTTTCTTTAAAACAAATCGTCGTGGCCCTGCATCTGTGTGCTGCACTGGACTCAGCAGTGATCAGGGCCAGTGAAATCCTGCCCTTTCTACTGCTTATCTGTATCAGTTTGCTGCTGCTACTTGCTACTGCTTCCATCAATTTGAGAGTTTACAAAGCCCATTTCACTCAGTCTCTGGCTTTTAATTTTCATAATCAACCCAGGAGGTTCCTAATGCGATGGTGGTGTTTTGTGGGAGAGGACAGGTGGCCCATCTGCCCGTGGATTCCCGAGGTTAACACCCCAGCTCTGTCAGAAGGGGCTACCAGATTTAATAAATTAAAATGCAGGATATGCAGATAAATTCGAGTTTCAAATCAAAACAATTAGCCTTTAAAGAGGAGTTAGAGACTACATCATCTTTGGACCATACTTTGACGGGAAAGTCTTTTGTGACTTATCTGAAATTCAAATTTAACTGGCCATTCGGTGGCACCCAGACACTAGACCGCTTCACCTTGTCATTTTGGTGGGCTGAGCTCTCTTCCTACACCGTCTGAACCTTCTGGAAGAGAAGTGAGGAATTCTGAAGCCCTCAGGAAGGAAGGAACCTGCCTGCCTGCCTCTGAGAAATGACATCCTTCAGAGTGGAGGGTGGGAAGAGGCCCGGGAGCAAGGTGGCTCCAAGGATGGTGGGAACTGGGGGGCTTTGCCCGGAAGAGCAGGCCCCCTCCAAAGAGCTATTTTGTTCCCCTGGCTCCTGGTTATTTGTTAGTTTTGAAGTGAAAACTGCTTGGCTGCCATAAGCTACCCTTGTTCATAATGATGGCTGCTGTGTGTGGACCCCAGGGCCAAGCCCTGAGCTGAGGGCTTCCTTCTCATCACAAAGCCTTCTGCCCACCCTGCACGAGGGAGCTCCAGGGACAGAAGCAGCCTGGTCCTGCCCTCAGGGAGCTTGCAGTCTGAGGGAGGGGTCTTAGGCCAACAGGCAGTCAGCTTGGCCAGGTGAGCCGTGCATTTACATCAACAACCCTAAGGGGCAAAAAATTATTTCCCCCATTTCTCAGATGGGGAAACTGAGGCTTGAGCACTGTATGCAAGATTGCGCTGTGGTAAATGACAGAGCAGAGAGGTCACTCCCCACTCCAGGTTGGCGCAGCTCTGACCATTGGCACGAGGAGCCATGAGAGTCTGGCTGGGGGTGCATCAAGGTTGTGCAGGGGCTTCTTTGGTGAGGGAGCGACCCCTATGACCTCGGTTTGCTCATCTTTTGGGTGAGGCGTGGCAGCAAGCAGCTGTCATGTATCATCCTCAAGGAAGAACAAGCAAATCAAAGGCTTCTGAAGACACCCGGAGTCAGTGACGTGCTAGGCTTGTCTGCTGGGAGATGCCTCACCCCCGGCTGCAGCCCTCTGCCCGCCTGCCTCTGGCTCTCATGAGCCCGGGAGCTTCCATACCACACAACCACGCTCAGCCAGGGCCTCGGCCTCAATCGATCTGACGTGAAACGAGAAGTCCTGAGGCGGGTGGGGGCATCGGGAGGGGAATCAGAACAGTGTTGGGAGCAAGGCTGCCATAAACCTGGCATTCCTGCGGGGCGAAGCCACAAAGCGCAGACTTAAAAGGGCCTGGCTGGGGCTCCCGGCGGGGCAGGCCGCGCCCTCTGCCAGGCAGCTGCCGCTCTGCGGCGCCCCGCGGGGACCAGCCTACCCACAGGTCACTTCATGCACACGGATGGCACCACCTCCACATCAAAGTCACCTGGCCCAGCCCCAGGCCATGAGCGGAAACCAGAAAAACACACTTGGCTCTAGGAACGGCCTGCAGATGGACGCAAGTGGCTGGGCTTTCTTCCCGCGGGCCAGGGACAGCGGGCCCAGAAGAGGTTTGAGTGCTGCATCCAGTGGGGAAAATGAAAAGCCTCTCCCCAAGCTCCATGGGTGGATCCCTCCTCTGACCCCACCTGGCAGCAGAAGCTGTCCGGGCCCAGGGCCTCCGGTGACGTTGGGAGGAGCCAGAGCTGAAGTCTGGACTCCAGGTGGGAGTAAATTAGGTGCCGTGGCTGCTTCCCCATCGAGCCACCCTGTGCGCCTGCGGGTGCCGGCGCGTGGACCGGGACGCGGCAGGGAAGGACGGGCGGCCGTCCAGCAAGCCAGGCAGGAGGGCACGCGTGGTGCATTTAAAACAAGCGAGTTGCAACATGTAGAGTGAGAGAAAAAGAGTGTCGTGGTCGTTTCATTACATCTCGATGTTCTATAAGGTGCTTTCCTTCCGGACTGTTGTCTTCAATTCTGCTGCTGCACGCCTCCCACAAAACATTCGGACGGCGTGAGAAACCCCCTCCCCACTGGCCCATCTCCAGTTGTCTGGCTGCTCTTGCTCCAGACTCTGGATCCTTCCCACCTGGAATTTTTCCTTTTTGCCCCAGGGGTCCTGTGCTTGTCCTTCCCATAGCAGCTGGGAATGCTTTGTCCACTTCTTCTCCCTCCTCTCTGCTCTGCCTCACCCAAATCCAGCTGGCTGATCTCCCTGTATCTCCAGATCTCTGGATATTTCCTTGAACTTCCCCTAGGTCTTGGCCCCTGGGCTCCCCCTGCCCACAACAAGCCTGATTTCTCCTAAGCCCCAGGAGAGCGGGGTTGTGCTCTACTGTTCCTCACTCAGTAGTGTTTGTTGAGTGAATGAATGAATGAGTGCTCATGGGGTGACCTGTTACCAATTTGTAGTATTTCCACCCCATGCATCTTTCCAGATGTGCTTAAAGGAGCCACTATTTTGTGTGAATAATACCCTACTCTATGTTCTGGCTTTGCCACCCCCAGTCATAATCGTAACTATCGTTTGATGAGCGCCAGGCTCTAGGCCAAGTGCTTCACACCCTGAATCTCATTTATCTCCCATTTACTAGGGAGAAAGTGGAGGCTCTGAGAGTTATAAATACAACGACTGGGTTTCACTGAGATGCTAAAGACAAGGTGCTGGCTAGAACAGGTTCTCTACTGTCAGCCACTGATGATTTTGCCTCAAAGTCAAGGTCATTTAGAGTTGGTGACTTGACTTGCCAATGATTATAAAGGGAGATATGATGTGAAGCGGCCCATAAAAGAAAGTTAAATAGAATTTTAAGAAGATTGCCAAAATACTTGGCAAGATTGTGGATCATCTCACTGTGCTTTTAGAACAAGCTGCACTACCACAGGCCTTCACACCTGACAACCCATGACCAGCCTCACTTATGCTCGCTCCCTACTCAGCCCTCCCTCTAGATTATTTTAAGGCAAATTCCAGCTGTCAGATTATTCCATCCCTAAGTATGTGAACATGTATCTCTGAAAAATCAGAGCTCTTTAACAGTAACCTGGTTCTCTGCCTGGGCAGCATCATACCCACCAACATGGACATAAGCCATGAGAAGCCCATGGAGCTGGCTGGGGTCGTCAAGGTGCTGGGCAGGACCAGCTCACAGGGGGAGGGCACCCAGGAGTGTGTGGAGTTCATGGATTACACCAGTCTCTCCGTCATCGGAAAGTCGGAAAACCTGGTACTTGAAAGCAATATTGTCTCCATGTTGGTGTCAGGACTAGAGGACAGGAGACTTTGCTGTCCTGGGTGCTGGTCCTAGATGGTGTCTGGGTGGACTACATGGCCCGACCGGAATGACCTGCTCCTGCTAGTAAACCTCTTCTACGAAAAGGGAGTTAATCCATAATAAAAGAAGCCTCATCCCATTGCTAGACCAACATTTGTTGTTCACAATCGTAATGTTGCCAATTTCCATTACTGTAAAAATTGCCCTAATTATTTCATGAATTGTTTTATAGTTCTCGGCAAGATGCAAAAAAGCTCCATCCATGCAACACTGCTGGTCAGACAGCTCTCAACTCTCCTTAATTCTCTAGACGTTCATTGTTTTCCTTGCGACGTGTTCACTGAAGGCACACAGAGTCTTGTCCCGGAGGATTCCCTATAACTAAGTTTGCGGATTTCAGCCCCGTGGGGTCACTTACCAGCTTTTCCTGGCCTTGGGATTTCCTGTAAGCTGGTGGTCAGGGCTGGGCACCTGATTCTTTCTGTCTTGATTTTTTAGAAATAAACATATTTCACAGGTGGCTTGAAATAGTTGGGATCTGTTATAACCTTCCAGGACTTCTAAGACTCGGGTCACCAGGTTGAGAAGTTCAGGCGTAGCCCGAGTCTCTCCTTAACAGACATCTCTCATTCAAAACCCTTTTGTACTATAAGAAAAACGATGTTAATAACTAAACAGTCAAAGCAGCCCCGCCCAGGAGCCTTGAGGGATTCCGCCACATTCATCAGCGGCCCTGCAGAGTTCAGAACCCCTTCACAGAAGACCAGCCCAGAAGAGGGAGTCCTGGGGAGCTTCAGAAGCACCCTGGCTCTGCACTGGGTGCCCAGAGCCCTTGCAGGAGTGGGCCCTTGACCTGGCTCCCATCCTGCTTGCTAGCACAGGGAGTTTCTTCTCTGCCTGACTCATCCTCTCTGCTTTTTATTTCTTTCTTCCTCACACCCCAACTGGGCTGCTAATTGCTCCCCCCTCCCTACCCACCCCCCTCTTTGGAATTGTTGAGGCTGTGACCTAGAGATACCCCAACACCACTGGTTTCCAGTCCTG